TAAAAGTGGGAGTCCACTAATGGTACGTACTAATTCAACTAGGGCTGCACATATACGTATATGGCATCTGTAAATGAGTACTCGATGCAATTAAATCACCTGTGCATCAGCGCCACTATCAGCGATTATTAAGAAGATATCTGAAAAAAAGAGAAATCACCAGCTCCATTAATATCTCCTCAATTTAAAATTTTGACTTTGAATAATTACATTTGTGGTAGGTAAAGTGCTGTTGAAATCATGGGAGACTGAAAGTAATTGTTGTCATCAACAACTAGTTCCAATCAGAGCTGGTTTAGTACGACCGGTTATCGGTGGACGGTGAATCACCGATTCACCGTCACCGTTGCATCTCTACCAATAGGCGAGTCGTGCCTCATATTTTCCGAACTGTTTTCGAAATATTGGTTAATGCTTTTGTTCCAAAAAACGCCGATTTCAAAGACAATACACAACTGAAATCACAAAATTAAATCTAGTTTGAGATTCATCTCTGAAGAATTTTCACCATAAATAAATATAACTCTTACCAGGCTGAGAATTAAACAAACAATTACAAAGTTAAAATGCGTTACGCGAAATCTAACACAGCAGCATCCTGCTTCTGGAGTGAATTGAGCATGAAATTTTCTCCACATGGTTTTGCGATTTTTTTCAATAGTTTACGCTTGGGGCAAAGAAGAAATGCGTCCATTAAAGCTCGATTACTCCGTTCTACGCTTTTCTTTTGCAAGGCATAAGTACCATTCGTTAAAAACAAAGAGAGGAGTGCTGCTTCCATTCACTTCTTTCAATATATTTAGTTTAGAATTTTTACTTAGCAGAAAAATATTTCTAACCGACTCAGAGAGTCAAAATTGCTTCCAATATATCGGCCTTTACTGCAGCAACTATGAAAACGTACATACCAACATATACACACACGGAAAAATCTGTAGGTTTGTTCGAATTTTCTCTGATAAAATCAATTCGCTTCTTTCAAGTTTGGCCGACCATTTCGTTCCACAACGGAACGACCACCGACACCTCAAGAGAGAAAAAACAGAGATAATTCATATCAGGAAACGTCATTACTTTCCGGCACGGGGAAGAGCAATATTTCCACATTCATAACAATATACAAAGGTTTGGCAATTGCACTCCTTGGTGCGTCCATTGCTGTAGTGCTTTCTGTCCCAGCGACGATTGTTCTTCACAATTCTTCATGTAAGTACATGTTTTCTTGTCTGAAGATGAGAACATTGAAGTGATTTCATAAGAACACTTGATCATTGAATATTTTCAAATATATACGCTGCGTATCGTCTACTCGTTACGTGTCATCCGCTTTCGAATTGATGTAATATGTAAGAAATAGTATAAATACTTAGTTCTACTTTTTATGCAAGACCCATGCTAACATCCTAAGAGAATTGATTCCTCTGAATTACAAGTTTGACTACAGAGTGACATCGCACCCATGACTTGTTCTAACATAAGAAAGTAAACACTAAAAAAATGGTATCATTATTAAGAATGTCCGTGCCGAAGGAGGGATCCAACTTTTAGATAATTTATCCTGTAGAGCGATAGTTTCTTCACAACAATATCAAATAATGACCATAACTAAACTAGCTGCATTTTGATCAAAAACTGAATGTATCGATAATCAGGCCTATACGATAAAGTCTAGTTTGCTATCGGAGTTTTCTTCGATTAATTTCACTTGTGTAACTCAAAGAGCGGGCCTCCACAGTTGTTTATTTCTTGATTCAGAGAATGTTGGAGCGTCCGACAATGTCATTAACATTAACCCTTTAAATATGATAGTTGGGTGAAATTTTCAAAGCAATGGGTTGTTTGAAAATCGAGTCAGATCAGAGAACTGATAGAACTTTTCAGGATCTATCTAGTGGTAATTCTCATAAGTTATCAAGATCTATCCGAAACAAAATTCATAACTTTTTGCGTCTCTTAATGTGACGGAGATGCTGTTTACTATAGTTGTAGTGTTTTATTGTGTTTGGTAGCTTTTATATTGAGTATAGTCGAGCACTTGTACACAATTAATTGTTGGATTGATGCTTATCGACCTCCATAAGTTCTGGGAAGAGTCGTTTTTTTGATTATGATGAGTTTATATAGTTGGTATCATTATCGGCAGTTTCCATCTTTATGTGGGAAATCGATACAGCTTTATGTTTCCTGAAAAATTACTCTTCTTAATGGATACTCGTGTTTGCTGAACAAACATTTCTTGATAATAATAGTTATGATATCAGCCAATAAATCATTTTCAGTTTACCAAATTGAAACAGAATATGGGTAATTTTGTAACTGTACTTTTTTACAACAAAGAAAGCTACAACATCCGCAATCATTCACTAAGACCAGACAATGTTGTACATCTACTAAGGCCAGAATAGTAAACTGTTGGTATAGTGGGGATATTCCTTAAATCGAGAAAACCGATAGAGAAAAGAGTTACCATTGCATTGCCTTTTCGAATACCGAGGGGTCATCTTCGAAAAACTTTTATTCTCCAGACAAACTTTCTAGAATCTTTTCAGTTTCAGATATTTTGAACTAAAACCCTTTTAAAGTCTACTCAAAACCCGCAAGCAAGGTAATGAAGTCATACGAATTCATCAGAAGATGCAATGATACTACCACAACATAAACAGTTATATCATTGATACTTGTAAATATTGGAAATGTATTAGTCTCAAAACAGAATCAGCAACACATATTCGAGAACAAGGCACTACCTTATTGAACTGTAATCATCTTAAACTTGTTAGGCGTAGATTAGTATCATTGAGACAAAATAGATGAAAGGAAGTAGGACCGCGGCTTCAAAATAAAGTGCCAATCGATGTAATAGTACAGTACACAAAGTGTGTTAATTTTAGTCATCAGCCCTTCGATTTATTTGCGATAATTTTAGCAACAGCCACAACAACAACAACGACATCATCAACAACAACTATTAGTACCATTTCAACTACAGTGACAACAGCTACAACAACTACAGTAACAACAACAACTACGACGACGTCGACCACAACTGCCACAACAGCGACAACGACAACAACAAGTAAGTACTATTTGGGATAACTAGATTCTCAAAATGTCTATGTTCACAAAGGCCTAGCTCTAGTGTTTCGATTCGAGATATCCAATCGTTAAGCCTTTAAAATACTATTTAAGTAAAAGCATAGGTTCTAATATTTTTGCAACGTAGACCTACGTAAAATCATCGAAATACATAATTAAAATATTCCAGACAGAGTTAGCAGCTCATATTTTTTATAGTCATCGATGAAGTGTGTACCATTGTGACTTTGTAATACAATAGAACAGAGAAAACGTGAATATTAGTCAGGGACATCGTATGGACTGAATTATCAATACTCCCCAAGTCGACTAATCCGACAACGAATTCTATCGGATCCTATAACATCCTACTAACCGAGGAAATTCAATTGGATTTTGGGTTTCGGAATTATTGACGAATCCGACGGGAGAATATTAAAAAATGATCAAAATTCTATCTAGTGCAAAAACGCTTTTTAGAGATTAACTATAGCAGACGTTTTTGGCATATCGGATTCCAGAGTAGGATACGATCGGATATGTATCGGATTACGATCCTATAGATCCGAATCTCGGTCCGAAACTCGGAATTCGTCGATTCTCGTGGGTTTTCATATATGATCCGAGGTAACCCGTTCTCAGATCCGATTGGATCCAGTTGGAGGAATGAGCGAGCTGGGTTATTTTTTTAAGCACACTAGAACCCAATCAGAAGACGCTTTAGTATAAAAAAATTCGAGACCTACGGTTCTCGACTTCTTTTTGAATGAAATTATGGGCCAATGATGAAAGCATTGTTTTTTTGCCATATGTAAAGTTACGATCCGATCAGAAATAAAGGGATAAAGCGTTTGGGGCTGACCGAAAGCTTCTATTCGATATTGAGTCTGCTGAAAAAGTATTTATATCACTTAAAAATTGATTGTACTCGAACTGTACTAATCATTGAATAAAATCGATCACGGACAAATGAAAACAAAGAGTTTGATTGAAAAAATCCTTTATGGAGCCGAATTCTTGAAATGAAACTAGTCAGTGGTAATAGTTCTCAAAAACAAAGAACCAGCTCATAAAATTGATTTAAAGAATACACAAGGGTGTTGAAATTATCAAAATAGGCCAACCATGAGCACTAAAATATTTGAAGCAGTAGTGCTAAACAAACAACATGGATATTGCACAATTCGATTTATTGCAAATTCGTTTTTCCAACATATCCAGAAGTTAACTGGAGGATTTTTATATAGTGACAAAATAGTGAAGGAAGATAAACTGCAGCATATGATAACCTAAGATGACTCATAGAAACTTTGAAACTCTTTATTATTAAAAAAATATGTAAGGCGTGATGGTGTGAAAGCTGAGTATTCTTCTGTAGCTACATTTTTTATACGTTGGGTGAAATATTTCAGCTGCAACTGAAAGTGCACTGTTATGAGACTCAGTCACTTTCAAAAGAAGGCTACTAGAATGCAAAGTGTTTATTTGTTCGTTTAATAGCCATCCCTTCGACCTCTATTATTATCACAAAAAGAGAACGTATTAATGCACGATCTGTTTATATGGGTATATCACGGTCACAGTACATCAGAGTAACTATAATATGCGCTAACCATTAGGACATAATAACTTTTTTGCTCATCTTTAACATGGGAATTTGCATTACATCAACTTCTATTATGCATGGTTCGTTAACATACGTTATTTAATTTGGGTTTGCATATAAATGTAAAATGTTTTTGCTATTTTTGCTTTCTTTTAAAGGGATCGCAGCTGCGATTTATAAATCGAATAGGTCATTTCTGTCGAAGAAGAACAAATTTTTGCTAGTCATAACAGAAAATAAATCTCATTTAGCTGATCTAAACATAATGTATCTACGCCACAATGTCGATAACAGCTTTAGTTATAGCTGTTTTGCTGTTTCAACAGTGTTCTTCTATCAGCATCATCAATATAAATTTTACACAAAATTTATCTTCAGCTAGGTACTCATGGAAACACGGAAGTCGTTTTTTTTTCAAAAATTTTTCATTCTTATTTGAATTCGAATGAAGCACTTAGTTTTCGATAATATTTCCGGCTATCTACAAGATTTTACAGTTCATAGTATACGAAATGTTGAAACGCTTAAAAGAACAAGTCATCTTCATGGAGACCATCTCGATACATCATATGTTATTTTTGTCTATGCTATATCTTCGAAATTGAATAGGAAATCAAAAGCTGCATTAAATTTATTTCAGTGTCAGAATGTGAGTAAATTGGTCTAATGGAATGATTGCTTGTATTCATGCGATTTCATTATTTATCATTAATACTCGAATGACTTCTTTGCTTCGTATCTCTGTTTGTTCAGTGAAAGCTTATCATCTTTTTAAGCACATCAATATGAATACTGGTATAATTTACATTATAGATACTAGAAAGCGTTAATAATAGATTCACAGGTTGCATTCGATACTGTTCGTCTCATGATGAATTTAAAATGACCCTAATTTAGCGCCTATTGATTCATAGATTACTAGTAAGCAGAAAAGGCTTTCAAATAGACAGCCATAAATGTAATACGTGAAACTTGAAGAAAAAGTACTTGATCTATACGCGATACCAGAGACATAGATATGTACTAAACTGTAGCGTGTCTGTGTCGTGAAAGACGACGAGCAAAATGCGTATCTTTCTAATGGTGCGTCTAGCGTTAGTTGGAAGTTTAGCTAAGATACACACAGTCGTTGTCGAAGTACATGGGCAATACTTTATCGTTGAAACTGGAAAACTTTAATGATTGAATAATTGAATGTTGGCAGCTCGAAAATTGAAACTTAAAACTTGACATTTCCCTTGAATTTAAGTTTCAACTTTGACACTACTGCTTTTATTTTTATTCTTTTTAGCAACGACGACAACAACTACAAGCAATCAAACATCTTGTCCATTTCCATGTACATGTGCAGGCATTGCGTCATACACGTTGTGGCAAGCTTACTCCACTTACTCAATGTATATGATTATAGATACAACCAACTGTAATTTTAATCAAGCACCTCTTTACTTCACTAGTATGGCTGGGCTCGGTTCGCAGTATGGCTTAACTAGTTACGGCGCTATTTATTCAGCGTCAAGTACATCTTTTACAATATATTCTCAGAATCTCTTTAATTGGACTGCTTCAACATTATTGAATATGGCTGCAACTAATGCATGGAATGTGATTTGGTTTGGTTTGTACTACTAAAAGTTGTTCTTCTTTCATATGAACGTTATTCTAAATCATCATACGAAATAAAGCACACGTGATCATCAGAAATACTTTGACTTGAATATAATACTTCAAAACTGATGCGAATTGCTCGAATTTCTTTGTATTAGATCCTTTCTACAATTAATTATTTTGCAGCACATGAAGAAATGTAATCAAATAGAACATCCTGTAAAACATGTTTATCAAAACGCAACCAATTGTGTACTTTTAGTTTTCAAGTAAAATAATTCCTTAAACAAAATTATATTAGAATGAGTAGCCTTCACATAGCTAAATACAAATAGTCGCAGCAATTGAAAGCGATGTTTCACAGTGTCATCATAAGAAAAGAACTTTGTAATTAATCACTCCTGTAAGGAAACGAATACTAGATCAAGATAGTGTTGCAGCAAATTTTGATGCACCTCTTGGTGAAGGTGAGGTTTCAGTACTAACAAACAAGGGGGGAAAAGCTGATTGCAATCAAAGCAATCATTGGCAATCACTGACAATCTTTGGCAATCATTGACAATATTTGGCAATTTTTTGCAACCTTGCCAATCAATAGCAAATATTACCAATGATTTAGAATAAAATGCTTTTTATTCAAGACAATGAAATTTGCTGTCATTTAAATAGTTATCAGTATAGAAAGTATTGTATCATCATAATAAATATCATCTTATATTGTCTATATATATCACAGTCGATCGCGACGAACTGTAGACACTCGATATATAATCTAAGGCGATATTTTTCTTTTTTCGGGTGTTCATGTATTCATGTACGCATTTGCTCATGTGACACAATAATTCAGAACGAAAAAGTATAAATATCTCTTTTTCTTTTTGTTTTCATTTCATTTCTACCTTTTCAAACAAACTCACCAATATCAATATACTGTTCATTTTATTAATGCCGTTATTTGTAATATGTCTACCCCGAAATATTCACAAATCTACACAAAAAACNAGCACTCGAAAATACTATTTCGCAAGCGTATTCTTATGCAAGTCGTCTCGTATGTCACGTAAATATGTATCAACAACATCAAATCTTATCACTAAGAAAAATGTCGAAACTGGCTATTTTTCAACTTCAAAATCACGAATAGTCGATTATTCACATCTTAACCAACATGACCCAGACTTTGACTTAGATTCAAGTGATAGTAGTGGTGAAAGAGATGAAGATACTACTGAAAATTGTACAGATAATGAAGATTCAACTGAGAATGACGAGAATTATGTATCTATAATAATCTTTTCAAACTTAGTTCGACTACATTTCAAGGAATGGGAGTTTTTGATTCCATTAATCCCACCTTGGCCAAGTCGTACTTTATCATTAACATTAAATGGTACAAAAATATATTTACATAAATAGACAGCTGCTTCACTCCTTTCAAGTGATAAATCTATTTTGTCTTCAGATCGTTTAAAGCGCATTATGAACAAATGATAAAATCTACTTACATTTCAGTTCTTCATATTTGAATCTCATTATTCCTTTTCGATGAGTTATACAGACTTTTGAAGGGTAATTTTAGTTAACACCAGAAATTTTAATTTGCTTTTATATTTCCTACAAAGAGCGTGACAGTAATTTATGTAGTTGTCATCACGTATATACTCTGTTTTCTATGAACAATGACAAGTAAAGTCGTCATATTCTTATGATGTTTCTTAAGATACAAACTTATATTGACTAAAAATGGCTCGAATCTATGATTTTTCGATATTAAAGAAGAAAAATAATCACCGGCAATCATTGGCAATCTTTGACAATCATTGACAATCATTGACAATCTTTGGGCAATCATTGGCAATCAAACCAATCTGGACAATCAAAAATTCAGCTTTTCCCCTCTTGCTAACAAAGTCCTATGAATAATATACAGGCATATATTGAGATCCTTCATCTTTTGCTTTCACTCCTTTTTTATTACTGGATTTTCTTGACTGTTTGAGAAGATTCTAGGCAGTCTAAAAACGAAAAGCTTTACACAATTTCATTAAATTTCAAAAAATTTTCCGAAATCTGCAGCGACTGTTGATATTTGAGTTGGTTGAAAAAATCGTGGACAGCTCAAAAATCTACGTGGTTCTAAAGTTTTTTGCAACTTTTATTAGAGCCTGACTTTCACCCATTATCTTATACGCTAATTACGGAATCTTTCGGGAACTAAAACAGGCATTTTTAAAGAATTGCAACGTGCTTTAGAAAACACTACTGCCAGTTCAGCCATGTCATGTGTATTGCAATCGCAGTATCAATTTTGGTGACAAATTTCTTACGACAATAGATCTATTACTAAGAAATTGCAATCATAAATTCTCAGTCTAGTCTGCAGATATTGTTTGTAGTCAAGCTACAGTAAATGCTATTGAAGCTGAAACAGCACAAAGATAATTGCAGATTTGTTATTGATTTTCGAAATAAACTCATTTCAAATAGTATTGTGTCACAAAAGTATGACGAGAGATTACTATATATTATTTACGTACATCTTTCTACAATATCACTTTTTGTTGTTCTTCTTCCTCTCTTATAACTTATCAATCCACATTTATATTAAAAACAGTTTAGACTACATATTCTGTAGTTTTGATAAAGCTAAATCACAACAATGGAACCTCTTCTTTAAATTTCAAACACTACATATACAATAACATAGTATATGCTTTCTCCCAATATCCATCAAACAGTTTATATTGTTACTAAATATTGCTCAGTTATCAAGTATGATCATTATTTCTTAAATCGTCCATCAGAGAACAATATTACGTATCTTAGAGGAAAGCAAGCTAAACAGATTTTCTACATCATAAGTGAGTACTTTATCCCAACTTGGTCAGTGAACTTAAATTGAATTGCAAATCTGGAATTCTTATTTATCATTAAACCTCTGCGCATTTAATGCACCCTTTTTATAAAGGGGTGTTACAATGTTCATGTAATGGGTGGCCCATAAAGAATTGTGCTGTTAGTATTTCGTGAATTTCTCCTCTATTTTTTTCCATGATTAAAATTCATTTTTTTACTAAAAGATGACGCTTAAGATGCTCTATAAAAGTGTACATGATTGGATCAAAAGCCTCATTTCGATAAATTAAAGATAAGATAAAAAGTAAAGACTTACAAGTCGTTGTAAAAAAATAAATATGAACACGGTGATAGACCAGTAAAAATTTTTCATGGCTTGGGCAGAGTGGCGTCAAAGCGAACAATTAATTTATGGATAAGAGTGGTAAAAAAAACAGTGGCTCTATCAATCTGTCATACTCTTCTGGTCGTTCATGTACAGTTCGTACACAAGCCAACATTTCCAAGGCGAAATGGCGCCTTAATCAAAAGAAGCGAGTATCAACAAGAAGATTAGCTATTGAAATGAATATTTCATGAACAAGTACACAGCGCATATTAGGTGAAGATCTTGGTTATTTCCCTTACAGAAGAATCAAGCAGCCGAAATTGACTGATCTTCGAAAACAGAAAAGAATCAAATTCGCTAATTGGGTTCTAAACAACTATCGAAAAGAAGATATGGACAGGTGGGTTTATTCTGATGAATTTTTTTTGTTTTAGATGGAATATATAATGCTCAAAACGACCGGGTATGGGCTGGTACAAGAGAAGAAGCAGACAAAAAAAGGGGCAATTGACGAAAAAATAAAATTTCCGATGAAAGTGATGGTATGGCCAGGAGCGTGTGCAAAGGGTTTTAAGATCCCAGTTATTTTCGAACATGGAACAATGGATGCCAAAAGGTACATTGATGTAGTTCTTCCTACAGCTATAAAATACGGCAACAAAATGTTAGGAAACTATTGGATATATCAGCAAGATGGTGCAAAACCTCACACACATTACGTAAGCCAAAAATCATGCGCCGATCATTTCCCTGACTTCATTCCGAAGTCGCGTTGGCACCAAATTCACCTGATTTATGTCCATTAAATTACAGTTTATAGAACGAATTAGCTAAAGCTATGGGTTGGAGTCAAATAACAACGAAGGCAATGTTGATAGACGAAATAAAACGTTCAGTGAAAAAAGTTGAAAAACAAAAAATAATAAATTCTGCATCAGATTTTTTGTACGGCTGCGTCTTCTAAAAACCAATGAAAGCGAATATATTCGTTAAATAAAATATATCATGATGTGCAGAATCTCAAGCGCTATCTTTTGATAAAAAAAAAGATTTTTTAATCACGGGGAAAATAGAGGAGAAATTCAAAAAATATTAACAACGCAATTCTTTATGCACCACCCGTTATTTCTATTTGATAAAGAATCAAATGCACCAATTGATACCAGCCTGTTACAAGCTATAGAGAATTCAATGATTCTTTTATCGGCCGCACTGGCTCTGATAGATTAAAAATTACTCTTCATTTTATGGATTCTATTTGTAATTTTAACTTGTGAAAACTGATACAATGAAATCAAAATTCTTATGAATTAAACGTATTTGATAATAATTAGCTATGTATAAGAGGTTCACAGAAGTATTTGGAAGTTGTGAGAAGTACAGAGATAGACACTTTAACAGTTGGATGTACTATAGAAGTATCATTAATTTTGAATAATTTCTAAACTACCTCGCATCTCCTCGTCTATCTGTTGTTTGCTACGAATTTGAAAGAGCATCAAAATGTAAATTATAAAATGACCCATTCAGCCTTACAATAATTTCATTTCGATTTTCTTTATCGTCTTAAACTTGAAATAATAATAGAATGTTGTTGAGTCTTCTTTTTCGCCACACTGCTACACTCATGATTTTATCAATTTTTTTAGAAAAACATAATAACTGTGAAGCATTATTGCCCGTTGCTTTTCGAGTAGGGCGTAAAGTAAAACTTAGCACATGGTAATCATAATTTTTTCCCACCAGTTGATTTTAAGAAGATAAATTTGGTTCGAATCAGTTTTTTTATTAATAGTTTCAAGCTATTAAGACAATAAACCACTGTAAGAACGACTAGAGCGCTAACCTATCATTCTCTTTCATTTTCAAAAGGCAAAAATGGCAGTGGAAGTGGTGCACCAAATTTACACGAAAATATTTATGATTATGATTTTGATTGCTTTTACTAATCGTGTAAAAGCACTTATTCGAGACATCGAATTTAGCGAGGGTCACTCAATTAAATCATCTGCCACGAATATCCCAATATTTACAATACCGTCGCTTACTAAGAGTGGAACTGACTTTGGTAATTCGATAATGAATGTGGGACCTACTCAGAGTAGAGAAGACTTAATATTTGAACAATTTAAAATCGGAAACATTCCTGACTTCATGAGAAATGCTATTTCTATCACAACAACGGCTGGAAATGACACAATCACATATTGGGTTCTTCCAGATGTTCTTTGCGTAGGTACAAATAAAGATTACTTGAGAACATCAATGAGTCCATTAACGGCAAAAAAAATAGCAGATCTTTACAGTTGTGTTTTACCAACAAGAAAAATGGCTTTTCAAATTTGGCAAGCAGCTACAGTTAAACTAAATCCCAGCCCAAATGGTCCTCCATATGATGCGACTATGTTATCAACAGAAAGAATGGTATTTCATAATAAAAAAATCCAAGATGCATTAACTAATCAAATTCCGGGTGAGCTGGTGTCGGGCCATAAGAAAGACGTAGTTATATCTGCTGGGCTGTTAAGCTACCCGAAGAACGTAGCTATTGTGGGATGGTGGTACCCATCGGGACAAATGATTCAACCATTAAATTATGTATCGCATGATCACCATTATAAAGATTACAGTCATGGTATTCGATTAATTAATCGTATGGTAACCATAAATGGACAATGGCATGACATATATGATGTATTACGCAGTAAAACGCTCTCAATTTTAATAAGTGACGAAGGTTCATTTGATGCTACACAAATATATGTGTAGAATTTCGCAGCAAGTTGCTGCAGAATTTGAGAAAAAATATTTCATTTACTTTTCTCAATCTAATTTGTATTGATTAAAACATATCATAATCAAATCAGTATGCTATACACAGCATTGGGTAATTAAAATACTTTGAAATGTTGATGAACCGCCATTTCTTTAACTGAGGCCGAAATAATAGGCGCGCAGAATTTTGTTAACTTTCAAACTTATGACCATTTCTTGGCAATACACAGTAGATCTTTTACTAACGAGGATCAAAGTTAAAATAATTTAGGGTATTATTTATCTTAAACGGTCTTTAAAGAAATATACTTTGGCACAAATGTTTGTCTTGGTTTAGCTTATCAAAATTTAGGGCAATAAGTAAAAGCGTTTCAGCTTTACATCATATTGATTTAATATGATAAAAATACCACCTTTTAATTTGTTTTAACAATGATGCATCGTGCAGTTATATTGCTGCAATACATAGATGTAGGAAAGTGTACTTGAAGGTGCATTAAATTTATGAAAAGCTCTTCAAAATCGCAGTACTTTAAAATTATATTCATTCGACAGAAAGTAAGTTGAACTTATTCTCAGATTTATAACATCAAATAAGTCGTACTTGTCATCTGTTTTCAGTTGCTCTACGATAGTATATTATGAGCAGGATGCAAGTTATTCGTTTTGTTACACTATAAATCTTCTCTTTAAAAAAAAAGTCGATCATACAGAATTATAGTCTATTCGGTGTGGATATCGAAAAGATTGATGACCAACCTCAAAACTCATAAGAACTGCATGGACATAAGTAACAAGAGAAGTAAATGAGGCAACAGGCATCCCAATGATAACCGTCATGTCTTGCATCTATCATTATTCAAACTATCCTCTGACAGATGAAACAACTGATATGTGTACATTGAACTGATGCAAAATATAAATGATTGAAATATTCCGCCAATTGAAAACAGTTTCATGGTGCCAGATGAGCTTCGCAACGCGTGAAATAAAAGAATACCAAAATAAAACATAATATTCATTTTCAATCTGACATTCGAATATTTTAACCTACCTAAAAAACACTACGTTCAGAAGAGTAAATACAAAAGTAACACACAGGACCATTATGCTTGCGTTATTTTCACTTTACTGAATTTCACGATTCGAGATGGTTCCGTTGAAACAATAGTGAAAATTATTTAATTACCATGTGACCAGAGATGTACATGATTTGTTTTGCACATAAATGCTAATGAATGTAGTGATATGAGTTTCTTTCTTTAGAATGAATAAATTAGGAACATATAGTAATCAGGAAAAATCAACCTTATTCATTTGATGAAACTCCTTAATTCATTGTTTATTTTTCTTCTAAATTGCTTGAGTTACCGTTTTTCTTAATTAGGCCATCGCCATCGGCGTACTTCTAACAAATTACTTTGCGAGATCTTTACTTTTCAGCTTATAGTGTAGGGTCCTGAGGGAATGACTTTTCTTGGTTCCCGTTCCTGAAAGTTTTTCACAGCTTCTATTATTATTTCATTTTTCGCATGGAAAATTCTTTATTGTTTGATAGCAGCTCATCGCTACATCTCCCGTTTCACATATAACATATCACACATGACACCACATTAGAGCCCATTCGGTCCTCCCCGGGTCCGGTTCGGGCCTGACAATTTAGATCCATATGTGGTCACCGTTTAAGGTAGTCCAACGAGCTAAAGGAAAGTGTGGATACCATTATAGAGGTTCATGGAATTGTATAATGGAGAGTTCTGGTGGGCTAGCCAAGTTCAAACATTGATCTTGTCATATTGCATTATTCATGAAAATATGTCAAAAAGTAAAATATTGAATAAAAAACTAAATTTTTGAAAAGCTCATCAATATTTTGTCATCAAGACATTTTTGCGCAGACAATTTGGGCTATCATCTACGATAAGCAATACAATTTTATTGGGTGAAGGGTGTGAGGGTGTGAGGGTGCGGGTGTGGGTGATATCTCTGCAGTAAAGGAGTAGCAACCTCACTCATGTATATAATTGATCACCTCCGTGCACTGCTTCTAAATTTAAGTCATAATATACCCTCACCCTCGTGTAGTGCTATAGATGAAATCAAATGGAAGAGGTACCTTTAATTCACAATTTTAAACCTCAAATTTAAGAACATTTCAATAAAAATAAACTAATAACAGAGAATTTTATTTTGAAAGTCATCATCCTCTATTTGTAGCTAATTTTTCGTGCTAATTTAATGTGCCATCACACGGTTTTAGGTGCCTCTTCAACGGTGACCATATATTCTCTTAATTCTTTGAACTCCCTTAAACAGTGATCGCATTCATAAAATAATTTTTTTAAAATTTTTGTTCATTTTATTCCGCGATTAAAAGCATTCCTTGAGAGTTTCACGAGTACCTGTAAATTCTGGATCCTGGAAAAATTGAGCATTAAGATTCATGTTCAAAAATCCTGAACGATCAGGCCCGGTTCCAAAAATTTCGATTAGGGGTGTCACATTTAAATCATTTTTAAATAGAAAGTTAAATTTAAAACTTTGTATCATTTAAATTCAACTGAATTTAAATTAAATTGCTTGAAATTCAAATTAGTTAAATTTTCAAAACTAGTAGATAAATATAGTTTTTGACTTGATTGCTATTATTTCAAGTCAAATTTGAGTATGTTTCTTGTTTTCTAAAGTTAAAGCTAGTCATTCTTCTACGAATTGTGCTATCAAATATATTTTTTTGAGTATCCCGGTATTTTAAAGAAGAAAGATGACGAATCCTGGATGATCTGTAGAAAAATTTTGACTACTATGAACAAATATGAACTTAAAATTCTAGGTTCTGCTCTCATTTAGTATTTACTGCTGTTCTAGCCACGTATTTTCCTCATAGCAATGATGTTTATTCATCCGAACAATTTATTAAATTTTTAATTTTAATTTAAATGATTTTTCAGTCCAAAAATTAAATTTTTATTTTTATGTGATAAAAATTGTTATTTATTTTAAATTTAACTTGATAGAATTTAATTTTAAATTAGATTAACTTTTCGCAAAGTTAAATTTAAAATAAAATAAACTGTAAATTGGCACCCCTAATTTCAATCAATCGGGTACGGAGTCGAGTCCATAAATTTTTGAACCCGGTGGGCTCTACTTCCCTCGCAAATAGGCATGAATAAAGCAAAAAATCTCGAAAAGAGAAAATGATGCTACTACAGTTTTACAAAAAAAAGCCTTGATGATTGTACTTTTGATGATAATTATGATGATATATCCAGATGAATGAATTCGACAACGGATCTTATCGAATCCTATCAGATCCAACTGCCCGACAGAATCGGATAGGACTCCTGGACACAGACCTATTGTCGGTTCCGACGAAAAAATCATTTTCTTATTCACGATGAAATAGGCATTTTGAGTCATCAGAGCGCAAGGGTGACTCGATAGAGTTGGATTCCGTTAAAATCCAACATAGGATCCGATTGGATCCAATATCAAGAATCCGACTGTAGGTCCATGTCCAGGAATCCCATAAGATTTTGCCGATTTTATTGAAACACATATGGTATTCTGTATATTCACTACCTGACCCTTGTCGCAATCCGATAGGATTCTACTGTCGGAATGATTTTCCTGGGTAGAAAATGATTCATGTAATGATAAATGATGTGGTGAACAACAAATTACTAGATGTAATTTTTTAATAGATATTTGTTATTTATTTTTTTGTTAATTGCACGAAATAAAAAGCTGCTACATCGATACATTTCAGTAAAAAAAAATAGGAAGAATAGATTTTCGAAAACGACAACTTTTTTATATAATTCTTGTTCCCACGAAACCTTACTTTTGACACCCTCGAAATACTGAATAAAGCTTATCAGATAAAAAAATTAACTTCACAGCATTGAATCGATAAATAATCTAATATTAATTAATACATAGCTTATGGCAGAGTATTCTTCTTGCAGTTTGTTTGGCCAATTGTCAATAATTAAGTTAACATTTATAACAAATGCGATACTAAACGCGCTTCCATCTTCTCTACAATGTTCTAATATGAGGGGTTCATTAATTTGATGAAATATAGATAGTTCATACAGTTGCTCTGGAAAAAAAATAAGGCGTCATATGGAACCATTTATGGTTCTGGCCAAGATACTGAACCTTTTAAGGTTTCACTCGCTCATTAATAAACCATCGAGGGTTCTAGCTAGTTTAAAAAACCATCTCAGATCCTCAATAGTTGCGGATAGGGATGTGCGGTGTGCGTTTACTGAACACCGATAGACACCGACAGTGACGCTCAGTGCACACTGATAGGTTCAGTGTCACTGATCACTGAAATATTGATCGCACTGACACCGACGTCACTGGAACACCAATGACCACTGTATCACTGATCGCTGGTGCACTGATACCATCGGCGTCACTGGTATGTCAGGCACACTGACTTCACTGACACATTGATATTGATTTGCATTGACTGTAATTCAAAAGCGGAGTATTATGACATCTTCCAGATAAAATATTACAATATTATGATGTTGTCATTGGATGAGAGACTATGTCAGTTGAATAGTTTATCAAATGTATTTCTTCTATTTCTTACAGCTACCTCTACTGAATGTTAAATTTTATTAAAGAACGAGCGAAATATTCTTTGCTTATCATTATACGGTATGCACTGTATCCTACCAATCATTTTCCATCATTTGCTCTTGCGTCTTTTCTTTCCATCTTCTATGTTCGCTTCTAACGATTGTTCTACATCATTTTTTCAAGTTCTTTAACTTTCTTCAATGCCATTGGACATTATAAGCGATTGTCCTCGAGATCGTCTCTTCCATCATCTCGTTTAATATAATCGTATTACGCAGTTGGAAAAGAAACAATAAAGTGACTAGTCGTGTTTTTTTTCTACTTTAATCATTTCAGCCGTCACGTCGGATTATGTAGCTGAATAAAAGAAACGAAAGTGCCTGTCTTTGTTTGCCATCTTCACCGTTAGATATAAATATCTCTCATTTTCGCAATAAAATTTATTTTCATTTGCAAACGTAGAATTCGAAGCGACATTTTTTTGCCGAAAATCGAATGTAATGGATTGAACATGTCGTGTCTCGCTTTCTTATTTCGCTTAAGAAGCGGCATGAAGTGAAGTAGTTTTTTAGATTCAATGAAATAATCGATTTTGGTTTAGATCTTTTTCGTATTTCGAAACTGTATTGTCCAAATCCAGCTGATCATATACGATTGAAATTATTTTATTATTGAGAAACACTTCGAACCTATTGTCCACGTAAGTTTTTATACATACTCATTTCTATTTATTATGTTTTACATACTTCTAGCTACTTCATTGATTTTTAACATTTCCAACATTCATCCAAGAAGCTCTAAATCATCAATTAACTTCCTTTTATATTCGAGTTTCATGTACAACTGCATAAGAATAATATGATTTCCAAGTCAATTTTAACAGATCTTACAAATTGTACAATTGCGGATCGATCGAAAAATGCAAATAATGTTAATAGTAAAGATTCGCATCGAACACAATCATCTTTATCTAATATAACAACAACACATGAACATGATCCTGGTTCTGAATCGGATGAAGTTCTTGGTGATGATACTCATTACATCAATAACAATAACAAAAAATTGAAAGCTGCAAAAAATAAAGCTACTGCGATATCAAGAAATAATTACTTAACTACCACAACAATTGAAACAACATCTGTACAATCATCACAAGTATGGAAATATGCCATACGTTGTCCAAATTCAAATTTTTCAATTTGTTCTTTATGTCTAAATGATAAAAAAGTTTCAACAAACAATGGGTCGACGTCGACTTTACGTAAACATTTGATTTCAGAGCATCAATTACATGAATTAGCATTACCAAATAACAAACGTAAAAGAGTCGATCCACCAATTAGCAACAATAAAAAACAGTATTTACATGGCTTATTTATCAAATGTGTAATTCGTGATGGAAGGACATTTAATGACCTGCAGAAACCTGGATTGAAAAAATTTTTTACAAGAACTCATTCCTGGTTAGTTTATTTAAAAAGATGCCGGATATTTATTTGACTAGCTATATCAGATAGTGTGGTAATCGATAATCAATTATGAAAATGAATACACTAATAATTTATGCCGGTCTATTCATTATTAAATCTTTTGTTTTTCGTATAGGTTATGAGCATCTGACTCGGTATTCAGTGGCTCGTCTGCTAAAACGTCTTCATAAGCTCCATTTAAAGAAATTAATTAATGATTTAGCATTAATTGGTGATATTTCAATAACTCTAGACCTGTGGAGCAACAAACAAATGCGATCATTCTTGGTAATTACAGGTCATTATTTTAATAAGAATGGTTTTGATTTACAATCAACAGTTTTAAATTTCTCAACACTTAATGTTCATCATAACTCGGTTGATATTCTTCGTGTATTACAAGAGAAATTGAAAGAACTTGATATATTACACAATGTGGTTCGAGTGACTTCCGATGGTGGTCGTAATGTGGTCCGTGCCATTCGTGATCTGCACTTGAATTTAGAGTGTATATGATGTGTTGCACACCGACTTCATCTTTCTGTTACAAATGCATTTGGGTTTTGGATCCTGAAGAAAGATGATGAAAATGGTTCAATAGCTTTGGAACAATGTAATAAGAACTGTTTTATATTTAATCTTTTACAATCTGATTAAAATTAAAGGGACGGATCAAACGCAATAAAAACAGAGGAAATTTAAATCAAATTTGCAGTATTCGATTTTTTCGACTGCTCTATTCCAAGAAAATAAAAATTCTAATGTTTCATTAAAATTTACTACTTTCCAGGGATATACTTTAAATCATGATCACACGTATTTGTATTCGATCAGCAGCTCTCCCACTGATATATTATAGCAGGAATCACAGAGAGATTTATTAATCATTTAACCTTTCGATTCGTATATATATATAATATTGATGAGGTGTTTCAGGAATGCGAATATTTACAATTTTTCTTTTTTTTAAGCTTCATTTTTCTTTTGTTTAGATAATTTGAATCATGGACTGAATGATGCAGAAAAAGAGATGGCAAATATTGACCGATTAGACAATAATGATGATATTGGTGAACCCGACGAAATAAATATGAATGTTACTCGTGATGAATCAGATGATGATGAATTATCGGAAACATATGATTCGAACGACGAAGAAGAATTATTACTTAAAGCAACGATGAAGAATTCGTGGATGATTGGACAACAAATGTTATTCAATCAGATTTTGATATTGCTTGTGAACAGAATATGATTATAACTGTAATTAAAAAATGTCGTGGCTTAGTGTCGATGATTAAACGATCAACAATTATTACATTATATTTTGATACTGAACGAAAACAGGCAAACATCAAACGAAATTTATGCTATGATGTTAAATCACGTTGAAACAGCACGTTTAGCATGATCGATTCTTTTTTAGTTCTTCGTCAACTTATTCAAAAATTATTTAGTTACAAGCATCAATTAAAGATTCAACCAAAACAAGTTAAAAAATTAGCTGACTATGAATTAACAAGTGATGACTGGAATGTATTGTTAGTATTGCACTCGATTCTTAAACCATTTTATCACGCCACCAAGGTAATGTCCGGTGGTCAATATCCATCGATTGGATTGGCTTTTTATTTACTTACACGTCTGAAGAATTTCTTACAACATAATGACAGAAAAGAAAGTTCAATGGAGAAACGATTAAAGCAATTATTATTGAAACAATTTTTTGCATTACTTTGAAAGTGATGAAGAACAGATGGAATTATTAAAAGTAAGTGACTACGATTTATACAACTGTTGCTGTTCATCTTTGCTCAGATTTCCTTAGTTGCGCGCTTTTAATTATTATAAAGAATATTGAACACTACCATAATAATGAGCAAACTACCATTTCTGTTAAAGTTTGGAAACAAAACACATGTTATGAACACAAAAAATCACAATTAAATATTGAAGTAGTTCTTTAGAGTATATAATGAGCAGGATCATTTTCGTTCGGAGTAAACGTGAAATTTTGAAAGAAGTTTAAGATGAACGCCGCATTTCTTTCACATAAATCGTTGTTTAATCACACATACTTATGGAAACAATTAGTAGTTTTGAAAGCCCCGATCAAATTATTATTTTCTATTTTTAGTTGCATTCGTATTTTGATCCTGCAGGATTTTCAACATTCACTGAGAGTGAAAAACGTTCAGTTGAACAGAATATCAAATAAATGTGTAAGGTTAGTTAATCACTATCCGATTGTTAGTCTTTTAGAACCTGAATTTAACGTTTGATAACAAACTAATAAACAGACCTTTATTATGTAGAAGAGTCTGGTATATATAGAGAGTTACATGGAATAGGAAAGAGCTTGCTAGAAAAAGATAGAGAAGAGAGAACTTACAAGAAGTCATACAGAAAAGAGTGGAATATACTAGAAACGATCACATGACAGTTCACGCAGAACGAAAAGTGATACATATATAGAATGACGTCATAACAATGACAGAAATGACACAACGATAGATTGCGCTACATAACAAATGGCTACTGATGGAGGATGTCAATCATCAATATCGGTAGCAAATACATTATCAATTCGTCCGACAACAACCAATTCACCAAACACAACAAATTCAACTGGAAACTTAAATAAAAGTGCCGTTGATATATTAAATGAATCGATTGGTGATATTAATTATGAAGATAGTCGACGTGGTGAAAATACAAGAGCAACTATTGTTAATGAATTTCAAAATTATCGAAAATATACAACTCAATTCAATTTAAAATATAAACCATATGCAACATCAGCGATAATTTTCTGGACGACATATGGAGACACGTTTTCAATTTTAAAAGGACTTGCTAAAAAAATGTTAAGTACACCTGCAACTTCAGTAGCGAGCGAAAGTTGTTTTAGTCTTTCATCATCTTTAGGTAGGAAAGAACGTGCCCGTTTAACAGGTGACAATCTTTCATCACGTGTCTTTCTGAAAGACAAAATAAAATTTTGAAATCGATCTGATTTTTAACCGTTTTGTTCCTATTAATTTTGTTGTTCTAGTTTTAGCACTGGTGATATTTATCATCTAACAAGTTCTTTCAGTACGCAGATTTTTTTCTTATTACGATTTGTAGTTTATTTGATTCTCTTTAATATGTGTTTTATTCTATTCTACGTTTTCGTTTTATTTATCTTGATCTTTGAAAGGCGCATTTACTTTTATTTTCACAAAATTGTCTTTCTAGAATATTCATTTATTTGCGTGTTCTTTTTATGTCGAAGATTTTCACTTATAATTTATTTATCTAATTCTTCGACGACGATGTATCATTTTTCTTCACGCTTCTAAAAATATAACTATTTCTTGAAGAAAAAAAATGCAACTAGTTTATGATCATTCTTTGTTTATTTAAAGCAAATGTCTCATAGTACTATGTAACAATTAATTACGAGATATCAGTGAAGTCAGTGTGCCTGACATACCAGTGACGCCTATGGTATCAGTGCACCAGTGATCAGTGATACAATGGTCATTTGTGTTCTAGTGACGTCGGTGTCAGTGTGATCAATATTTCAGTGATCAGTGACACTGAACCTATCAGTGTGCACTGAGCGTCACTGTCGGTGACAAAAGTGACAGTTTCTTCGGTGTTGTCACTGACACCACACATCCCTAGTTCCGGATGTTTGAAAAGGTTCCGTCCTGCACCATTTTTTAATGCTGAACAATTTTTCCAAAGATGACTCTGACTTGAAGCAAGATAATATATTTGCGGAACGTGCTTTAAGTAATATAAATCTCAAATAGGTTTCCGAGGTCGAGGGTTCCGAATCCGTTATCACTTTTTCGATCTGAGCTCCCGTTGGTCAGAAATTGGATCCATCAAAAATTCCGTGACTGTAAAATTAGACATTTTATTTCAACTCCGATCTATATTCTGATCAAAGTTTGAAATAAATTATCGAGATCCGGGAATCCGAATCCGGCATCATCGATACCGAGTATGAGAACCCGAGTCGGATTGATGGATATGCGTAGGTGTGTCTTAATAATCAATTCTATGGTAAGTTATAACTTATATAATGCGCTTATTCTTTTTTCTATTTTCATATAGCACAATTATCAATAGAAAGTAATATCAATCTGGTAAAATGAAGTCAATATGTTCTTTATTTAGGTATGTAGCAATAATCAATTGAAATGCAAGTTCAATATGACAAAAAGATTTAATGTTTTTTCTACTTAGGTATATATGAATAATTGATCTCATGGTAAGTTCAATCTTACAGTATCAATCACTCCTCTTGTTTTTTGTTTAGGATCGTCTCAACAGCAAGTAAAGGCGATTCCCCTTTCGTGCGAGCAAAGGAGAAAAGGCGGACTCGTATTCTGCTCACAACAACTCCAGGCAAATATAGTACATACGATTTAGTGGTTTAGCATAGAAATGAGGGTTAAGGATAGTATTAAGGGTTAAGGTTAGAATTTAGGTTAAGGATAGAAATAGTGTTTAAGGATCGTATTAAGGGTTAAGGATAGAAATAGTGGTAAGTATTTTAGTTTGCACAAATCCAGACTTGATGAGATTTTTGAATTGTGGAGCCGATAATTAATTATGAATGGTAGAATGTATATTAATAAAACATTGACGATCGTTCAAGTTCATTTCTGTTCGATTGATATGTACATAATATTCAATTTTCTCATGAATAAATCGCCACGAACGAAATAATGATAGATCTTGCCGTTGAATATGACCAGTAAATCCTTGAGGAAAAATTAATAATTGACTGTCTTGATGTGGAAATACTGCTCTAAATTGTTTTTAGATCAGTTTGAGTTGTCCAACAATCAAGAAAAAGAAGGAGGTTTCTACCGACCAAAGGACGTAGAATTTCGTTTAAAAATGTGCAATGTTTTTCACCACTACTTTTCCAGATTTTGAAACTCGTACAACAACATTTGGTGGCACAATTAAATCCCTTTGTACTCTGGTGCCGAAGTCATTTTCCTTTTTCTTGGAGAATAAGAAAGAATTATTTGTCTAATAATTGACCATCAACTGATGTAATAGGCTGCACCATATAGGAATGCGTTCGATTATTCTTTCTTTTAACAACAACTTCAGTTGTCCTTTCATCAGTCAAAGAAAGAGTTCTTGGAGATGTAATGGTTTACAAAAAAAAACTTGGAACAATCTCACAACATAAAGATTTAATGTTTTTTAGATTCTCTTGAGTCTTTGTTTTGCGGTTATTGTAGATTCATACTAAGTAGATTACCTACGAAAAATACTCATATATTTGATGGGTTTCTATTTTATAGTTCTCTAATAATAACCTGATATAGCCAAGGCAACCAGTCTAAAATCACATCAAATTTTCTGATTACATTATTGGAACATCAGAATCTGCTCTAATAAGAAAATATACCGATATACAAAAATAACATTGCCTACAATTAGATACCAAATTAAAAATCTCAGAACTCATTGCTTTCGGGAATAATGAGCAACTAATGGTCGAAAAAAGTGTGATTAATACCAAATACAGCTAAAAATTACGTTCATCTATTCGAGAAAATAATGGAGTACTTTAAAACAATTGACTGAAAAATGGCGCGAACAATGTAAATTAACAATTTCCACGAGCTCAATCTCACGCCATTTGAATTGCCTTAAAGATGAACATTAAAAAACTTTATAATCAAAATTGACTAACAGAAAAAAGATAGATGTTTCTTGGTTATTGAAAAGAAAGTAGAATGAATCAAATATTGGATCAGATATTCTGAGACTGCGAACTGATATGTATTAAATATAGAAACATTTTTTTGAAAGCAGTTTAAAAAGGCGTTAATGTACGCTAAAGATTCGTTTCAAGTTTTTCTGCAAACCATTGTATATACTCTTGTTGATATGAGCAATGATCACTGTTTAAAATCTGGCGAGGAGAATAATTCAACTTTAAAGATCTTTGATTGTTAATCCAATCATGGGCATCTAAAATATGTATACCATATTAAGCGAAATATATTAGAATTTTAAGTAAAAATTTGCAAACCTTTCAAACGACAAGTTTTTCTTCTCGAAGATATCCGTGTAACAAGTTTGCTATAACTTCTTGATGAAATCCGATATTTTCTCTTGAATGTCGCAATAAATTATTCGCTTGTTTTGAAATTATTCCAACCCCTTTCACTTGTGTTACAGGGATGCCGCTCACATACAAACTCTATATATCTATATATGTCATCCTCTATCCTTTTTCATCTTCTTTGATCTGGATTTCTTTCTTTTCTTTCTCTCTCTTCTCTTCTCTTTCTTTTTCTCTCTATATAAAGATGTTACTATTGTATTCAAGGGCATTCTTGTTAATAAAGTTAACATACAAGTTGTACGTACACACATACATCTCACACTCTAATATCTTGCTTTTTGAATTGCAATACGTTCTAGATCACTCTCATGAATTGCTGCTTTTACAATTTATTCGTTTCACGTAAAAGTCATTCCACATAAAGTCCTTGATTTTTAAAAAATTTTCTGAACTTGTGCCGTTCATTTTAATATATTCTCTGAAGCTTTTGGTGTAAAGCATCTGTTTGACTTTTCAGAACCTATTCTTGATACTTGCAATTTTATAATTTGGATGTTGGTCAACTCATGCTACTAGATCTTCCATCTCTTCCAATGTAAAACTATTTTGAATATCCAAATATTGACTTTCTTCGTAATCGTCAATATTCTGCTCTTCATCCATTGATTCTTCTGCGTCAGCACTCTCCTTCGTGTGTCATTTCATCATATTCATCATGGAAATCGAGAGATCCATAAATATGTAGTTCATTAAAATAACTATCTTTAAATGTCTTCAAAATTTGGAACAATTGTTGTGAAGCTAAAACTTCATCTTCACTTGTTGTTGAATTTTGAAAGTGAAATTCCATTGGTGTCAAAGAAAGAAGATATTTCGCAGTGTTTCCCAAATTCATTTTTTGAATGGATGAGTCATTTTTTTCAAACATTAATCGTGATTAACAATTAGAAAGGATGTTAGTTGAGAATGTGGGTGTGGGTGTTGCGATAAGTGTGGGTGCACTGAATTCCGGAATGGGATTGGAAGGGATAAACGGAATTGGTCGGTAGTGATTCCAGGAATTCCGGAATTGAAGCAGAATTCGGGGAATTATATGGAATTGGTAGGCAGTGATTCCGTGAATTCCGGAATTGTGTTGGAAGTAATAAACGGAATTTCCGGAATGAGGTGGAATTGGTTCCGGAATGTTCAACATTGCGGAATAGGATGTATTCTCTTTAGAGACTGTTCACATATGATTCTTCACTTTCCATTATTCAATGCCCTTCGCTCTATGTTATCAATAATTTGTTGTAACTTCGCCAGACGCCATTTATAGCAATCATATGAACACTTCTTTCTCTCTTCATTGCGATGCCGGAATATGTGAACAGTTCTACAGATTATTAAGCGATGCATCAATGCACTTAATTTTCGAATATCTTACATATTAACACTTTTCAAACACAATACGTGTCATTCTGAAATCGACACTGTTAAAATTTAGAAGAAATCGCATCTAAAGCAGTCTAAATGATGCCAATAAAACTTATCTCGATCTTGGAAACGTACTTCCTAACAAATCTGATGATTAACTTAAAAGCTGATATGAATATTTCATTTATTATCATGTTTTTGCACTCAATCAATGTGAAACTTAAAAATTGAATATCTCTGTCAAAGTAAGCCATTAGCAGCTCATATTTTAAATGCGTTAGTTTCTCAGTGAATATGATTATTTGCACCTCACTCGATCGTCCATCTCGCTTGGCCGTACAAACAGGTTCATTGTTAGTTACTCGTAACTGTGCCGATATTGATGGCACGTTTTCGTTGATTCTTCTTTCTCCTTCTTCTAATCTCTTTGCATTGTTATGATATATATATATATATATCCTATACAGCTTGATTACGCTATTTTTGACCGTTTTGAAGAGACTCATATGCGATTTCTGTTATTCAAAAATGTTTTTGGACAGCATCAAATTATATCACAACCTTTTCTCTCTTTCTAGATATATTTACACTCACTTGCTGCTTATGTCCCGCAATACAATTTCTGATGTCGTAGAGGGTCGTATTTTACAACTTTTACATCACGGATGCTCCCAATGTCAAATCTTCAAAGTATTGAAATCTGATGGAATTGATATAGCACGATCAACAATATCCAATGTTAAAAGGAAGATCAGTCAACAACGAAATGCCGGTACAAAAATCAAGCTTAATCGAAATCGTCCATTACAGACACTATCAGTCGTGAACCAAGTGATCGTGAAAATCGATGTTGAAAATCCATCTACTCAACGAGCCATTGCAAAAGCAGTTAAGGTAAGCCAATCTACAGTGTCGAAAATCATTAAAAATGCTGGATTTTTTCTTCGGAAAAAACGAAAAGCGCAAAAACTCGCAATGGCAAATATCGAACTATTATCGCCAGAGAGCGCATCGTCTTTATCGTCAATTGACTAATGGACGATACAAAAATTTTATCATCACTGATGAATCCTGGTTCTATCTTGATGGCACTAATGATAAACGCAAGGTTTGTTACATTAAAAAATGAGATTCGAATTATGATCGAATGATAATCCAGCAAGATTCCTTCCGGTCGAAAGAGTTCATGGTGTGGGGTGGAATATCAAGTAAGAGCAAAACAACTCTTCGTTTCGTCGAACCCAGTGCAACGATTAATTCCAATTACTATATCAACAAGATATTAGAACCATTTTTGTCATGGGATATACCTAGATTGTTTCCTAAAATTCGAAAATGTCATCCATTATTCCATCAAGACTCTGCTCCAAGCCATGTCTCAAAACAAACGATTGAATTCCTTAATAACTTGAAGGTCAAGTACGTCAAACCAGATGAATGGATGTCGAAGAGTCACGATGTTGCTCCAATGGGTTATGCTATATGGGGACACTTGAAACAACGACTCAACAAAATGAAAATCGAGACGCTCGAAGAGCTGAAAAACGACTCTTATATGAATGGAAGAAAATGGACCAAAGTTACATGGACAAAGTTTTAGCCTATTAATAAAAACGTTTTTTTATGGTATTTAAGAATCGCGGTTTTCATATAGAACATCGTTTAAAGTTGTAGCTTTTTTATAATTTTGCTATTTTGAAAATAAAATGGTCAAAAATAACGTAATTTAGGTGTATATACGTGTGTTATGTGTGAAGTTGTTACACTCTGGATATGTGAAGAAGCGAAGAAACATCATTGCCCTGAGTGGCGACAAACTAATCCACCTCTATCCAGTTTGTCTTAATGTATCAACCCAAACAGGGTCACATATTTATCGTTACAGTAATTATGTAACTACAGTAGTTACCAGTTACAAATAACTACCTAATTAGTGTAGTTACGTTTACTAGTAACTAAGTAACTATTGTTGTTATTTTATTTTAGTTACGTAAATATAAAGTAAAGTAAATATGCCACCCCTACGCTTAACTCATAAATATTTTGTATATTTTAAACATGTATATGGTCGATTTTTAGATGAAAATTGTATATCATCTGATAATGTCGACAAGTGTCGTAGTAGTATACTGCTGTATAAATTTCAAAGCTTGTAGCATTCTCGTGTATGTTATAACGATATCATTACCCCATAGATCAAAATTCTGCAAAATATATATTCCGATATTGACATCCCGTATTCATTTGAATTGAATCGTTTGCACATCTACGAAGACAGCTATTAAATAACTATTAGCTATTTATTGCTTGGGTGCCAGTTTTTTATGCGGATCAGCATAACATCTGTATCGCAGCTGTAAAGAAAACATATTTTGCTTCGCTGATTATTGAACATAGAAATCGAGTTAACAAAAATTTGCTTAAAATAATAACGTTTAATTTTACTTCTGCAAAAACATGAGAATTAAATTAATAGCTGCTTGAATGATTTAATGCTAGAATCGTTTTAAGCATGAAAGCATCATTAAAATGAATGATTGCATCAGATTAGCATACCCACGGAAAAAATTTAAGTAGATACCACTGTTAGACGCGGTTTTTTTGATAATGACCGCGGTTATATCTTTGGAGACTGCGGTGTGCGAAATAAACAGCATTTTATCGCGGTATGTCATACCGCAATATAGATTTACCACGGTATGCTCTAACGAAACCGCTATGTAGTTACCGCTGGAAACCGCGGTTTGAAAAAAACTCGGTGATATGTAGATTATTTGCGGTATTCGAGAACCACTATATTTCGCAATATTATACCTTGCGACCTTGCTATTACGAATCGAGATCTCCATACATTACTTCCAAAGATATCATTATTCAGAAGAATATAGTCCTAGTATATTCTGAGACATTTTATGTAATTGTTGTCATAATGAGATATTGCAACAATTTTGATACATATAGTCATGATTTGATAAAAAAATTCTGCTTGAATTTAAGCTCTGTTTTCTTCTACTTGAGAAATGAAACAGATTATAAGCCGAGAATTTAAAAAATAAAAATATAACATTTTTTATCAAACTTCAATAAACTTTATATCCATATTCATTTTGTATGATAATGTAAAATTAATTAAAAAAAAAGAATTCCAAAAGTCGAATTGCAGAGAAAATATTTTAGAATCACATTAGGCCGGAATAAACGTCATGTAAAGTTAAGATTATATTGAATTAAAAATATAGACAAATATATATTGACATATTAGTCAAATTTTACTCAGATAAATATTTCTGATAGGATTCACAAGATAGTGGAAGTTCCGACGTAAAAATACACGCAACTCCATCATTTCGATTGATAAAATCGAGATATATGTCAAATAGTAATCTCATCTGCGTTTTGACATATAGATTTGTATATATACTGAATTACAAGAGTACTTCAAATAATTAGACTTTTCAGTGCCGCATGATACCACAATTTCTCAACTATTGATCCTGATAAATTTGTACTTTCCTCCAGAAAGAATTTTATTAAAATATATTATGTTTCTACGTTAATAACCATGACTAATTATAAACCGATAAATTAGATTTTGCAAATTACACACAGTTCATCAGCAACGTGAATCTATTAGGAAGTTTGATAAAATTATAAATATCGTATAAATTACTAGTAATTCTAAGATTCTTATAAATTTGCTAGTAAACATAAGTCTGAGAAGGCTTTTCACCACTGATCAGAGAGACTATCATATTTAATATTAGTATGAACATCGCCATATGGCTCAATGAAATTAGTGGATTGAAATGACAGGGTAAGAAGTTCGAATCTAGCTAGAGGAAAAATAATAATAAATAGATAGTGGTATTAAACGAGTTGACCGCGGTATTCAATCGCTGCATTGAGGTCGAAGATATGTCGCGAACATGGAAAATGAAGGATTATCGTATAGATGCCAGGTATAATATACCATCATATAAAGAATTAATTTTTTTTCAAAAATCGTTAATAACTGCAGTTTGAGGATACCGCGGTTTCGGGTGATGTGAAAAAACCTAATAAAAGGTGTGACTTTCGCGGTTCTTAGTAACCGGTGAGAGTCGCAATTGGTAAACCGCCAATAACCTCGGTTTTGGTTGAAAATTTTTTCCGTGGGTAATACTAGATTAGTCCTCAGAATAGTATGATTTCGAAGAATAATTCACAAAGTTATGAAATGATTAATAGATGTTAGAATAAGTTATACATGTTTCATATGATATAATTATTCTTCCTGTTTATCTTTCAATGTTTGAATTTTCATTTAGAAAAACAAAAATGGTATGTTTAATCGCGCTTCGGTAGCTCAATGGTAAGAGCACTGGTCTGGTTAACCAGATGTTGCATTTTGGGTTCGGTTCCGAACGAAGCATATCATTTTGTTTTTTTCTGAATGGAAAATTCAAACATCGAACGATAAAGAGGATGAATAATTATATCATATGAAAGTTATGAAATATTTGATAATTTAGCTAATGATATTACTCTATAAATTGCATATGTATGACACTTCATCTATTTTTCCTTGAAATTCTGATCAATAATACCTGTTTCAAGTAGAATATTAGGGGAGTATGCTAAATCCTGATGTGTGTACCATAAAAACCATCGAAAATCAAACTGCAATTACATATGAGATTAATGATCACAGAAATGAATTAAAACTGATAGTTTCGTCTTACAGCTAAGGAAAGAGTAAATCAAAATGAATTTAGACAAGAGATTATAAATTATATCTCATTAAGCAGCAGATCATCAGTTTAGTCGATTGAAATCTATTTGTGAGAGCATTTGACAGATCCAGAAACAAGTTCCAAGTGTATAGCAAATTCAACTAAATGCAAGGGGGAAAAGCTGATTCTATGGTGACAGAATCATCGGAATCACGCGGAATCAATAGAATCACTCGGAATCACCAGAATCACATGGAATCACTCGGAATCACATGGAATCACCCAGAATCACTCGGAATCACTAGAATCACATGGAATCACTAGGAACCACCAGAATCACATGGAATCACTCGGGATCAACCGAACCACTCGGAATCACTGAGAATCAACCTGGAATCATTCGGAACCAGTAAATAAAATTCCTCAAAATCATAAAGGTTCATCTACAATCATGTTGAATAAGTAAAAGGGTCATTCCACCAGAAGTCGCCAAGTCCATCCGGCGACCACGCCCAAATTCCTTAAGGCTTTCAGGGTTTGTAGAGAATTTTTCGCTGATC